TTTTTTCTGCGGACCACCAAAATTTTCTCATGGACCACCAGTTGGTGACAGCTGTTCTAAGGTAGGGGGGGAATTGTCTTAGAACTTCAAGTCTACATATTTAAAATTGCCAAAGTTGAGAAACTCTGCCTTAGAATATGCTATTTTTATACCTGTTGCTGCAGTAAAGCTATAGATTAAAAGGGCTCTTTTCTCCCCAAATAAAACAGATAATAGACTTTTCTGCCATAATTGTTCGACCACTTGATACATATAGCATTTTTCTAGTCTTCCCTTACTTAGCACACATCTAGGAGTTGTACTTACAATGATCTGGAGGGCTTGGGGAAAGTACCCATGCGTGGATACTGAAAATTGAAATAATGAAGAGGGAGCAAAGTCTGAGTAATACTGATATTAAGAGTGTTGTTGGAAATGAAAGACTTGGTATTACACATATTTAGAGCCTAAATTGGATTAAAAGAAAAAGCAGAAAAAATTTCAGAACTCAATGAGTAACTAAGCTAACTAAGCAATTCAGCAAATGTTAAAAGCTCAGCAAAAAAACCAGCAAATGCTGAGTTAGGAATTATTACAAAGCAGAAAAATATACCCACAAGTGTGATGCTTTAGATTTATGGCACACTCAAAATTAGTGCGATGATCTTCAGTTGGGATTAAAAAGCAATTTGAAGCCTAGGTCCTGCACATGGGTGTTTGTTTATATTGATTTTCCCCAGCTCATTTTTGCAAAATCCATGCCATAATCACAGAGCAGTTTAGAAATACGGTTTGCAGTTATGTATGGCATTTGTTTTAAAGCTGCCAGTCACATTAACTGGCTTTTAGGTCCATCCTGTGCATAGTAAACAGATAGCGTTGTTAGTTGTACAGAACTTAGTGTCAAGATGGAAAGATGTGGTTATCAGGTGACACAGGGCAGAGACTATTAGCACCATCATAGCTTCTGCCTGAACTTCTAAGCAGCTCAGTATAGGTATCACTGGCACATATCAAATGTTTCTGTATCCTGCTATTTAAGGATACAGAAATCACAAAGAAGAGAGAAACATTCAAGAACCGTGACTAGTGAGTATGCAGCAGTGCTTCCTGCTGTGTTTCCTGCCTGATAGTAACAGATGGTTATTAATATGAAGCAGGGGCCTAGGCTTTGATAGTGAGGTTGGTTTAACAGGAAGACAGGAAGTTCAGAGAAAAATGCTGATTCCCTCAGCACCATCCTGGCTCCCCACTTTTTGAGAATAGCAGCTTTCTTTGTACTTCCTGCCCTTTTTCAAACCTAGATCTGCTTTAAAATATTTACTAGAAAAAGATATGTGCAGATATGTACATAAACTGATTCTGAAGGGAGGATGGAGGGCAGTGGTGGGATTCAGCCAGTTCGAACCTATTCGGGAGAACCGGTTGGTAACTTTCTAAGTAGTTCAGAGAACCGATTGTTGGAAGAAATCTCCTTTTGTTTTTTCCCACTTTACAGGGCTAATCCTGTAAGGAAGGCAGGAAGGAAACATTCTAGTGTTGTTTCTAGCCTCATCTTTATTGACCTGCTTACAGAAACTGCCTCTCCGGTTAACCCTTATTACATTGTAACAGCTAAGGCGAAGCACCCATTGACCTGAGTGACCTTGAGTTGGCCACGCCCACCCAGTCACATGACCACCGAGCCCCACCTACCCAGATGGTCATTAGGGCAGAGAACCGGTTGTTAAATTATTTGAATCCCACCACTGATAGAGGGCCATCCACATTTACATGGTTACTCACATTATGTTAAAATGATAACAGATAAAAGTTTGAGATTGTCCTCGGATGGATAAAAGGAATAACTGCAGTTTCAGCTTTAATCATGGAAACAAACTCTAATTGACACAGAAAAGGATCCAGATCTAGGAAGCACATTATTGGCCATCTTGAATCACCTTACCAGAACAATTTGGTACCACTTCAAAGCCAAGGGGTTTAAGGTGCACAAACAGAAATACCTATGACTGAATACTTAACTGTGCACATTGGGATGATTGGAAGATGCGATTTGAAACTATTAAAGTCAATGCAACATTACTCTGTTCAAATCTAGATACACATTTCAGATGTGCAGTCTAAAGTATCCCATACTTTCCCCATATTTTCTTAGTACAGGTGTACGAAGGGCAGAAAGCAGTTTCTTAAATTGACATTTTAAGTCAATTGACTTTAGTCAACTTTAGTCTAAATACAACATGTTTGCTTCTGACAATATTTTCCCATGTTCAGGACAGTTTGGAGGAGAGCAAATCAAACAATTCTTCTCTTCCCACTTTCACAGAAACCAACACCCTATAGACCTGCTATGTAGTAGAGAGCATATCACGTCCTCTTGAACCTTTGTTTCTCTGCAAGGAAAAATTCACTATTTGTTGTCCTTATGTGCAAGACAGGAAAAAGAAAAGTAGCAAATATTTCTTACGTTCTCTCCTATGTGTTTAAAGTATTTGAAGTTATCTCAAGATCTAGCGAGAGGGAAGGCACATGTGATCTAAGAACCGACAAAGAGATGTCCAGAGTTTTCTCTCTTCCTTTTTGAATTGAAAGTTAGTTAAGCACTACATGAAAAGTGATAACACAGCTCAAGCAAATTTATTTTACATATATGACATTTTGATCATTAGACGATTAATATAAGTAATCAAACATCAGCAACATCACAATGGAGTTGGGTGGTCTATTAAGTAAGTAAATAAATAAATCTTAGCCACAGCCTATCATTTGAATAGGTTGCATTTGTTTACAACTCTATTGTACTGCTGTAGTATATTCTTTTTTAGCAAACTTGTTTTTCCCAAACTTTCTTTCCGCCACATCCCATTGTATCTTTGCATTGTTTTTGATGCTTTAGACCCTGCTATTCCCTATTCAGATAGGGAAGTGGGGAAATGTGGTCACAGAGACAAAAGGATTTACAAGTATTACAGGTTATATATTTCAGACAAGATGAATACACACGTCTTTGGTTATTTTTGAGCACTTCCTCCTTTTAATCTTCAAAGTGTACTTTCTCTTTTTGCCTAGATCTTGCCAAGGTTGTATCTTGAATTTGGCCATGCTTACATCCTTAATGAGAATGTAATCTGGAGTCAAAATATTATTAGAGTCTGAAAAAGTAACATAACTGTAACTATAATGAGATTTTATTATGTTGGCCTTACTCTGGAGCTGGTGCTCGGATTTTCTTCTAAAGCTGTTATGGCTCCAGAATTTTAAGTGATTACATTCATGAAGGAAGCAGACAAAACACATCATTCTATATGGACAGTGCATATCAAAAGCATGGTTTACAGCTAGTGATTCATCATTACTCCCAATCTGTACAAGGCTTCAGATTTCATACCTAGAAGTATTAAGTGTCCCCTAAGGGCAACACAGATTTAAAAGTTTCTTCCCTCTGAATGAAAGGAAAGCTGTTAAAAGATTAACGAACTGACTACAAAAGGTTAACCAAATTACAACAAAAGGAAAATATTAAGAGCTATATTGAACTGACAATAACAATTACAAAATTCATTAACAATGTCAAGATTTTCTACCAACTTAAGACACAATTAGTATGGGTTCTTGGCTTAAATCAGTATTAGAACACAAATATCTATACTGAAAAACAATTCAAAATGTAAATATTATAGATCACACACAGAGAAAAAGCAGTTAGCCTAAATCTTCTCAGTTTTATTTAGAATATACATAGTTAAGGCATGTCTACTTTTCCCCAGTTGACCTTAATGTATTTTTTTTGGGGGGGGGGGGAAGGGAAGAATCAGAATTTAGAGGAAAGATAGTGTGTTAAATTATGGTACAAATCTATGTATGCATGTAAGGATACACAGGATTTCCCCCCCCAATGGAATATATTTATACCTTTACCTCTCTGTTACTGGTTCAATCTGCTTACAACACTTTTATGAAAATGTACGTATGACTGCCAGGCCATATAGACAGCCCTACAATTAGCTTTCCCTGACAAATCTCCCTTCAAATGTTCTGAACTATAATTATCGTAATTCCCAAATAGCATGGCAAATTGATTTTAAGATTATAGAAGTTGTAAATCAATACTCTTGAAGGAGGTTGAAAGAAGTGCCTTAGTTAGCTGGTCAGCTATCTTTTTCACTTGCTTTAATCTGATTTTTTGCACTGAGCAGGAGATTGGACTTCAGGGTCTAAATTGAACTTTCCAAGTCTGATTCTGAGATATGCTGGCCTGCACTTTCTATTTAGCTGAGATCCTGTTCTACTAGGCTAAAACATTATGCTATATCTATCACTAAACCAGTAGACAATTGATTAAAATTATTTTTAAAAGTCCTTCAATTTGTATATCAATTCTTTTTGTTAACTATACTTATGTATAAAAATATATCTATTATCAGAACAAAAGAGGGGCATTATTTTCCCATACTATAATTTTAATTTAAAAAACCATTTGAAAAGGATGCCTTAAAAACATTTCTGTTATATTCAGATCTTCTTGTTAGTTTACTTACAAAATACAGAGTAACAGAATTGGAAGGGACCTTGGAGGTCTTCTTGTCCAACCCTCTGCTTAAGCAAGAGACCTTACACCATTCCGGACAAATGGTTGTCCAATCTCTTCTTAAAAACTTCCAATGATGGAGCCTCCACAACTTCTGGAGGCAAGTCATTCCACTGATTAAGTGTTCTCACTGTCAGGAAATTTCTCCTTAATTCTAGGGTGGATCTCTCTTTGATAAGCTTTCCATCCACTACTTCTTGTCCTGTTCTCAAGTATTTTGGAGAATAGGTAATCCCCCTTTCCCTGTGGCAGCCCTTCAAATGTTGGAAAACTGCTATTATGTTATCCCTACTCCTTTGTTAGATTAGACATACCCAGTTCCTGCATTGTATGATTTATCCTCCAGTCCCTTAATCATTTTTGTTGCTTTTCTCTGCACTTTCTAGTTTTCAACATCTTTTTTTTATTGCGACGACCAAAACTGGATGCAATATTCCAAGTGTAGTATAAAGGGGCATTATCACTTCACATGATTGTGACACTATCCCTGTGTTGATGCAGCCTATGACTGCATTGACTTTTTTGGCAGCTGCAGCATACTGCTGGCTCAGACTGGTATAATTATTATTTTCATCTTAAAGAGATTCAGTTTTGCACACCTTTATCTTTGTGTGTGTGTATGTGTCCCTGTGTGTGTGTCCGTGTGTGTGTGTCTGTGTGTATTGTTCCTATAGTGGTTTATGAATATAGGAAATTTTAGTGCTCGAATATCATGTATTTTTTGCTCCATAAGGCAACTTTCCCCCTCCCAAAAATGGGTGGAAATGTTTGTGTATCGGGCCGTGGAGGCGAGGTCCTTTTACAGTGCTGAACCCCATCTTTTCTGTCTTTGTCATTGTCCCTCTTCTGTCTCTTTTTCGCAGTGCAACAGTCAACAGGCAGAGCTGGCATATGAGAGGACACCTATCTGTGGTCCTCTCAGGCTCTGCCTGATTTTTTTTTGCTTGATTTCCTCCTCTAAACTTAGGTGAGTCTTATGGAGCAAAAAATATGGTAGTTTAATCTAATTTGTCTCATAATATGTGTTAGATCAACCTTCCCTAATCTGTCCATATTTGTATGCAAATTTGGCTACAAGCAGGAGTTCTGGAGACAGTTTTGTTAGATTAACATTTATTCCTAAGAAAGGGTTAGATGTTTATTTATATTAATCTAATTTTTAAAATATTAATTTTTGTGACTATAATAAGCATTAGAAGGATATGCTGCGTTCCGTGCTGTAATTTATTTAAATTCACAAGTGACTAGAGGCCGTTTTAGATTAGTTTTTGTCTTAGAACCCTATTCTCGTCAACCAATTAGCGCTTTTCAGAAATGGCTTGGAAACCCGTTCTCCTACCCATTCTCCTATTTCTAGGAAATAGTTTTATTCTTTTTTCTTAATTTAATTGGAAACCTTAATTTAGAGGTGGGATATTAATAGAAGCCACTATGCCAGCTTCATCAACTGTTCTTTTAGCATGAAATAAAAGGGATGTAACCCTACTCCTGAAAATGCAAGAGTCCAGGTCCCGCTGTCCCTTTCTCTCATGTACCGTGGCTGAGCACTGCTCGGGCAGCCCCAAAGGCTGCGGGATGGCTCGGGTGGCCCCATTTCACCCGTGCCAGATAGGAGGCAGTCAAACCACCCTACAGTAATGAGTGCCTGGCCAGCTCTCCCTGCTACAGGGGTTATATCTGTTTTTGTTTTCATAGCAACTGTCTTCAAAAACGTCTCTATGCACTCATTAAATGAACTGAGGAGTAGATTGGCAATGGCCATTTTTTTGGTCCCTAATATCTTATGTTCCCACCAGTTCAGTCCATAATTTCATTCCTTCTCCTTTCTCAAAAATGTAATTTGGGTGTCTACAGGTTCCTCCACACTTTTTACCTGCAAAGGTCTGTGTGAGGGAATGACACATGGAGACTCCAGTTGTTGGAATTTTACAGATGTGAACTTTACAGGGTTGGACTGATGAGATGCACAATACTGGGACAAATGGCTCCACTGAATTCACTCTTCTTTCCCCTTTCTTGTGTTTCTCTTAATTTTTTGTTGCTGTGGTTTCATTTTGAGGGTAGAACTTCTCTGTGCAATTATTTTCCTTGAACCAACAATCTGAAGCCTCATCCCATCCATCCAAGAAATGACACTTAGAAACAGAGGAAAGCAAATAAATGGCTTTTTTTATCCACCACCCATCTCAAATTACATCAGTACTTGGTTTCTGGTATCAGGAAGTCGAAGTCCTACCAAACCTCCACACACTAAAACTGTAGAAGCCAACAGAATAGGTATTGATTTGGCAATGATAACAAAAGAACCAAATATTAAGTTTCCAAGAACAGCTGCTGCTTTGCAAAGTGCATTTAAAAAGCCAAAGCCGGTTGCCCTGAAAGAGAGGAAAATAAATTAGAATTAATATGCAGAAAATACACACATACAGTAATGATGGTGATAATGTGTTGTCTGAACTTGAACTTGATTTTAAAAAAAGTTTTTTATCTGTATAAATACATACACATACACATTCTTTAAAAGATAAAACACTAGTGACTACCTGCCCTTAATAAACAATTCTGAAACAACATATTGTATACATGAATCTAAACATGTCAATTCACGTGTTACTACAAATGTGTTTACTTCTGGGGGGAAACTTATCAGCACATTTTTAATTTAAAGGCCATATGCCATTCATCAGATGTTTACGAAAAGATCAAGAATGATGAATCATAGAACAAAATATTAAAAGAGAAGAAATAAGATTGGGAAGAATAGCATGTTTTGCTAGTATCAAAAAGAAAGCTGCATTTATGCCTGACAGGCCTTCGCACAGAGAAGAAATTATACCAATGTGGTGCCACTATTAAGAAACATTTTGCCACACAGTTCTGGCATTAGAAAAAGTGTTATTCGGTGATGCATGAAATTGCCCTTGACTAATAATGAAGCTCATATAGTTATTCAGTCTCATGTTTTACCCAGAAAGTAGAAATGGAAGCAACAAGAGAAAGCCAAATGGGTGACTTTGGACCTCTCTCAACTGAACTCATTCACAGAGATGTTGTTGTGGGGAAAACAGGAGAACTGGATATGTCCACCACCTTGACTTATTTATACAAATAATAAAGGCAAGATATAATTTTTTAAAAAATCAAATAGTAACATTACACAGGTCTGCAAAAAAAAAATTTCGAGAGCTGTTTTGGTTATTCCATGTAATCTTTATGTTTTTTGGTGTGCTGAATCCGAAAATGACCTCCATTTTGTCATAGGATATCACGTTTCCTGACAATTTAGGTAACTATGTTAAATAAGGCAATCTCTCAAAATAAATGGAAATAGACTTATAAAATTAAAGATTTTATAGATTTACAGATTTACAGTGCTATATATTTTTTACATAACTCGGACAAACCCTTTAAGGTTTTTTTGGCATTTTATATCTTAAATGCACTTATGTGAATTAATTAATAGTAATTTGGACTTTAAATTTGCTTAAAAACCCATAATATTAAAAAAATACCAAAAATTTAAAAAAAAGATAAATTTGAAGACAATTTTGCATGTTGTGGCAAATCATGACGTCTAGGAGTTTTTTCAATATTTTATTTGTTTTCAGCACACCAAAATACATGAATAGATGAAAATAATCAAACAGCTTTTTAGTCACAGACTGAAATTATCTATGGAGATTCTCAGTCATCCTGGTCACGGTTGTCCTAAAGGTGCTTTTTCAAGAGGCAACTGGACTTCCTGGTTTTTCTTTGAAGACGTTTCACTTCTAATCCAAGAAGCTTCTTCAGCTCTGACCTCTAGGTGACCTTAACAACTCACTAAAGAATGCAAATAACCATCTGGCTGCAAGGAGTATAAATCCTTCCATTCCCCACCATCCAGTCAGAGCTGAAGAAGCTTCTTGGATGGGAAGCAAGATGTCTTTGAAGAAAAACCAGAAAGTCCAATTGTCTCTTGAAAAAGCACCTTTGGGGAAATAATAACATTATTTCATATTAAGATATGCAATGGCTTTTCAAGGTAAAGTATGAATGAGGCCTGACAACTTAGCAATTGGCAATCCTCAAGCTCAGGCCCAGTGGTTCCCAAACTTGGCAACTTTAAGACTTGTGGACTTCAACTCCCAGAATTCTCAGAGCTGGCTGGAGAATTCTGGGAGTTGAAGTCCACAAGTCTTAAAGTTGCCAAGTTTGGGAACCACTGGGCTACTCGAACAAACGATTTTGCTTCCAAAGCTAAAAACTCAATAGAGTAGTCACTCTGCTAGAGAGAAGTTTCCTGAAGATGGGCTCCAGTACGAGTCCGATAGCTTGGAAGACAAAACCACTGGTGTTGGAGACCGACCCAGATTGGACACTCAATACAGTACAGTACAGGTAGTTCTAAACATATGACCACAATTGGACCAGAATTTCAATTGTTAAGCAAGGCAGTTGTTAAGTGAGTTGTGCCCAATTTTACAACTTCTTTTTACCATATTTGTTAAACAACTTGCTGCAGTTGTTAAGTGAATCATCCTATTATTAAGCAAATCCAGTTTGCCCCATTGACTTTTCCTGTTGCAAATAGCTAGGAAGGTCACAAATGGAGATCATATGATCCTGGATACTGCAACTGTTGTAAATACTTGCCAGTTGTCAAGTGCCCAAATTCTGATCATATGACTGTGGGGATGCTGCAATGGTCATAAGTGTGAGGATCAGAGGTAAGTCACTTTTTTCAGTGCCTCTGTAGCTTCAAATGGTTGCTAAATGAATGATTGAACTACCTGTAATTACATTATTTAATCATAGGTGGGTCATACCAGCAAAGTAATGCACCTGTCTGAATCTAAATCATGTTTCCTCCAATTGTTTGCCCTCTGGAGAGATGAATGTCAATTTTTAGAATTCAGCCAGCACAGCTATATGTTTGTGCCTTAAAAAGGCTGATCTGAAGGTTCCTTAGTTCTTTCTTGCAAAAATGGAAGGGCACTGAGTGCATTACAATTTCATGATGGAAATAGTTCTTATATAAAAATGTTTTTTGTAACCTGTGGTAAATCTGTGATATCTAAACACACCAGGAACAATAGAAAATAGGTATCAATATGCATCAAAGAGCTGCAGCCTATACAATAGCGTATACAAGCTGGAAATTATGAAACAGTATAGAAGGTTGGAAGTACATCACTGTGGAAACGGAGGAGAATCTTTCTGAATATTCTAAATGTTTTGAATAACATTTCTCTCTCAGTTTTATATGATAGATTACAGAAATACAATTCTGTAATGAAAATAATTATAGTTAAGTAATTATTACCGTAATATACAGAGATAGTAATTAAATGCTGTACTCTATGTTTAAATAATTGCTACATCATGTCTCAAAGGTTTTAACTTTTTAACATTTGATTACCTTCTCTAAAAATCAGCGCAAAACTTAAAATTGTTGCATGTTTTGAGCGAGGTTATTCTTGAAACTATTCTTTTTATTTCCCCAATTCCACATCAAACACAATTCCTTTTTCTGGCTTCTCCTGCTTGTTTGTCCTCTCTGCCCAGTAGGCTATCAAGACTGAGACAAATTACTTTTGCCAGAATTTTGAACAAATTGCTTGCAAAGGTCTATAAATTTCAGCTGCCTCAGGGCCACAGGTTTTACACATGATCAGATAAATAATCTTATGAGAAACAGAAACTGCCTTCAGGAGATCCAGCTAATAAGGTACTTGGTGAAGATGCTTATGAGACGGCATCCAAATCAATTCTGTCTGTTCAGAGGTTTCTATATTATTTCCTACTCTGAAAAACCAGTTTGAGATTACGGGGCAATGTACAGACCCTTGGGAAACAGAAACAAATATGTGCTCTTAAACAACAAAACAGCAGCATTGTTTTATAGAGGTCCACAAAAATATCTATGCGCTTAATTGCCAACACAAATATGGGTTACAAGACGGTAAGCCAAATTTAAAAGCCAGAAGGCCTGTGCTTGAAGAATTTGAAGTAATTGCATGGAGTAGGGGAAGGGAATGCAGCTGGTTTGACACCCTTAAACACATGGTGACAAATACAGATGACATATTTAGTAGAACTAGTTTGGTTATTTGCATATCTGTGGGAAAAAATGTTTCTCCTTGCAATAATATGGCATAGCCATGCATACAATTTAAATAATGTCCTCTGGGGCATTTTGTTAGCTTACTATAAATTTTAGGTAGTCAAATATTTGCATTTTGCAAAAATAAGTTTATTTTTTATAATTATGAAACCAAATAAATAAAATCTTCTTTGGGTTGAGTGTGTAACTTTACACCATTTTCTTGACAATGGTATCTTTGGGAATTTAAATTCTCAATCTAATGTAAGACCCTGGTATTCCATGATAATCTCCTATGAAGAACTCTAATAAAGCTAATAGGAATAGATTTTTAAGATTACAAGCATAAGAAAGTTTATAGGTTTTTTTAACAGTTTCAGTGATCAATTTCATGTTGTTAAACTTAGTGCCAGGCAGCGATCAGGAGAATATGGCTCAAAATCTCAGTTGAATAGCTTCAACTCTATGCATCCACTCTAAAGAAATATTTTAATTCTTGGATAGGAACCACCTGCAAATTGCAAAGCTATAAGTGAAATAGGGGAGCTGGGAAACATTGTGATAGAAATATAACGGCAACCAACCTCCTTAAGTAGCAATAAAATTGCATGGATCCAATCACTAGGAATTAGTCTTTGAGAGCATCTTTGTTTACACTTAAAAGACAGAATTTAATAGTTGGTAGCAACCTCTGTCTTGGAAGCTGACTGAGAAACTTGAAAAAAATAAGCCACGGTTTATTTAATTATAAGGTATGTAATTTGGTTCAGACAAAATCCAAAGTCAAACTATATCATGGCTTGAACAATTTCAAAACCAGTCACTGGGTTATGAGTGTTTGATAGAAACCATAATGTTGTCACAAACAGATAGCCATTCGTGGAATCTATCACTGTGAGAATCAATTTTAATTTCAGGTTGAGTTTACATTATCTAATAATCTAATCGACATATATACAGGTAGCCTTGGACTTATGACCACAATTGAACCCCAAATTTATGTTGTTAAGTGAGACATTTGTTAAATGAGTTTTTGTCCCATTTTGCAATCTTTCTAGCCAATCTTTCTAAGTGAATCACTGCAGTTGTTAAATTAATAGCGTGTTTGTTACGTGAATATGGCTTCCACATTGACTTTGCTTGTCAGAAGGTTGCAAAAGCTGTTCTCTATAGTCCCAGGACACTGCAACCATTATAAAGAGGAGCCAATTGCCAAGCATCTAAATTTTGATAATGTGACCATCAGAATGCTGCAATGGTCATAAGGGTGAGAAATGGTCATAAGCCACT